TGGAATATAAGTTCTGTGGGTAGCTCAAGGGCAGGTACATTTTGGAGCCTGGTCTTTAACATTTTTTGTATGGGTCCGCAAATGATAATTTGTGTCTTTCTGTCACCAAAGCCATTCTGCATGTGAAAGTTCCCATCTGCTCACAACCTTCCACTCGACAGCCAACAGGCTAACACTGTAGTGCTAGATCTTAAAATGTAGCGCTCTCATTAGGAGCAAGAGGGTAAATTTGCAGCTTAACCAGGGAGCTTAGACAGAGAGAGACAGGTTTTGATTTTGAAGTGTTAATCACTGCTATTTAAGTACCATGTTGTTCATCTGTAAAAGAATTCCTGGCTGTCCACCTGCCTTTGAGTAGTACTGTCCCAAAGTTTCTGCTTCCTATCTAAGCATTCAATTCTCAGTGAGCTCATGTCCTAGACCTAGACAGGCACAACGTTATGCAGCTGATCAACCCTATCACAAGTTGACCAGAAGAGTTAAACTGACCACATCAAAAGAGACATATTCATGAATGAATATCCAAGGAAATATGACAGACTGCAGAATATTTTTAAAATCAAGCACAAACCAAATAATGAGTTTAGAAAAAGGATGAAATAAAATATGCCAGTCAGTCTGCTTGAAAAATGTTTCACTGAACGATTGGCTGAACTACAACAGCATTTAGCTTTGAAAAATCAGCATTTTTCATTAAAAGCAGGTTAATTAAGAAATGGTTAACCAACTTTGGCAATCACGAGGGAAGCAAGAGTTGAAACAAAACTACAGGGAAAAAAATTACAGATCAAAAAAGAAAAAAAAGTAAAGGGGAAGGTTATCTCAAGGAATGGTATGTAATACCTGAATGAAGGACAAAAAGTGAAGTTCAGGGTGACATAAATCTAAGCTAACAATAATAAGTATAATTTTGCACAAACTGTGTGCCATATTGAGCACCTAGCATAGATGCCACGCTAGCATTAATTTATTATGATTCTTAAGTAACAGGGGCCAATATGGGAGACTGAGCAGCAGTGTCCACTACTGATGTTTACACTGTGTAAATATCCTAAAGAAACTAATAATCAAAAAGGGAGTTTAAACTGCAGAGAGCAGATTTGGTGACAGCTCAATATTAATCTTTTTGAAGTAACTTTGAATAAAACACAAGGGAAGAAGGCATAACTTTTACAAGATTATGTTATATCCTCTCTCCAGATCATTTCAGAATTTAAGAAAGTGAAAGAAGGAAATTCGGATCACGTTCAGACGTAAACCAGCTTGTGTTTTAGAATCTAGGTAACAAAAAAAAATCCATTCATATTACTGCTATAAACATGCATTTTCTCTTTTCCCTCAGATGCAGTTTATGCATTAACAGGAACTTTCTACTTCTAGAAGCTTTTGTTCTTTCCCAGAGCCACTCCTCTGGGATTTTGGCTCCCTGGTTGGTTACTGTATGTTGTTGCCCTGATAAGATAGCAGGTAGATCTGAACAGCAGCCTAAGTTATTGACCCGCTGAGCCAGGGACAGGAAGGTTGGTAGCAGTTACGTAGAAAACATTTCCTTTGAAAGCGTAGTTCTCCTTTGATACTTCAGAAATGAAAATTGATGTTCATAGCCACATTCTTCCTAAGGAATGGCCTGATCTAAAAAAGGTAATAAGACTTCACATATTCAGTGACTTATTTTATCAGCAACCATTGCTATTTATGTAGTTCTTGGAAAACTAGTGAATAAAAGATTCTGTAATATATGCCTGTTTTCAGTAGGTTTTTGTTTAATTTGATTTTTTTTYCAGATATAAGATATATGTATTACATTAATTTGCAAAGCAAAACTTCTGTAAGAAAGGGATGGAAAACTTAACTCTGTTCATTGTCAAATGATGAGGTATAAATTCCATTTGYTTTGTGAAACCATTGATAGAGGATATCTTCATAATTAATAATAATAATAATAATTATCAAGGGCTGTCAGATATCCAAATGATATTCACAACCAAATATGAAAGCAAAAATAAACAAATGTTAAACAAGATTAATATTGCCTAAGAGTACTAGTTCTTACAGCCACAGGCATGACAATCCTGAACTTCAGTGGATATTGGGTCACTTCAAGTATGGTTAATTGATGATGATGATGGACTATTTTACTAATATCTTTTTCCTATTATTTTGTCAATTGCTGGAAGGAAGTAGCATATTGCATTAGGAATACAAAATCTCATTTACCTAGATTCAGTTCTGACCAGAACACAGAAGCTATAAGTCAGACTGTTTTAACTTTGAATCTTTGCATGGTATTATTTTTATAATTCAATGATATAAACTCAGTCTTGTAAAAAGTAATTTTCCAGGTCATGTGAAAAAGTATTTGAGAATCGAAATTTCCATTTAGGTTTTCATGTAATAAAACTAATGCCTTTCTTATTTCAGATTATCAAAAGCTATACAATCATCTGGTTCTGAATTAGTCTTTAGAGTTACAGCCTGGATAATTATAAACAAAATTATATATAAAGRTATCTGATCACCTTTTGACTGCTAAGGGATCACATATTCAATGCTACAGAGAGTTCTGAAAAAGTCACTTTAAAAAGATCACATAATATATATATTCTCTCATATATAATTATTATATTTAAAAATTGGTTTCCAATTCCAGTATAGCTATTTTACTCAAACTCCTTACTGTTTCCATTCATGTAGAAGAATCAGGATAGAAAAGAGGAGACCTCTGCTGCTGCCTTTAAATATTCCCTTATTGTAATTGTGCATTGGCAGTATTTGAATGAACGTTCCCTGGGTTTATCAGTTGTATGGAATCATCTGATTTCATTGTGCTTACCTTTGACATCAGAAGAGTACCTTTATTTCAGCCTTGTTCTTTGGTACCTGACATACTACATTAAACTCTTGTTTTACATTGTATATACTTTCACTTGGTATTTTGAGGTTTCTTTTTTTCTTCCAGATAGCAAAATCTTAGATAGGTGTTTCAAATGTATTAGCCCTGTGTTTCTGTGACTGTTAAAAATAAATAAATAAATAAAACAGTCTGGTATCAATTCAGTGTTAGCCAGAAAGCAGCCGGAAAATGTAAAGTTTTTTAGGAAAAAAAAAAAAGATGTGAGAAAGCCTGGAGTTAAAAACATACATGGGTTATTTCTACATTGGTTGTGAAAAAGAATATTATTATGCATAAAACTTCTTGGGCAGGAAGTTTGGCCTCTTCTTTCCCTATGGAAGTGCTGTTAAAACATCTGTCTATTTATATTATAAGAACTCCTCCATTAAAAAGCATGTAAACACTGGCTAATGTAGGTTAACTGGTAGGGTTTTTTTAAAACTATTATATCTGTTTTAAGTAGACAGGAGTTTAAATATCCAGTCCACGGATACAGGGTACTCTTGCTTGTTCCAGATTTTGTCATCCTTGTTTGTGCAAAATTCCCATTAAAAAAAAAAAATCCTTCATGCTGATTGTGTGAAGAAGCTACATTTTGTCTCTAYATACTTTAAAAGGGTAATGAATTCACTAGGACAAAATCACCCCAAGCATCCTTTGATCTTTATTTACATGAAGGATGAATTCACCATTAGTCTTGCTGTTCAACTGTAGACCAATGTTGCACTTCTTTAAACGCTAATTAAAGAGGCTAATAATATGTTTTTATTTAATTTCTACCTGCCAGTTTTAATGATTGGAGTCTTCTGTTCTCAAGTTTCAGTGGTTCAGAGGTTTAGTGGATTCAGAATAGAGAATACCTCTCTGAATTCCCTAGGTTCCTCTGAAAGCTCAGGGTATTACTAACACGGTTCTCTACATCTTATGTAGGGAAAAACRGGAAAAAAAGGAAAAGCAGAGAGGGCTGAAATTCAGTATGCCTGCCAGAATAACAAATGAATGGACTAAGTGAACTGAATATTTTGCTTTGATTTCTTCCAGAGATGATATTATGCAGGGCAAAATATAAAGTAATAAAAGCTATTCACAGGCACTATTTTTATAATATTTTACCCCTAGCATGCACACATAATGCTAAACTTTTCTCTTTTTTTGATTATAATCTTTTTAACCTTGTAAATACCAAGTCTTGAATCTATGACTAGAATTTTCTATTTTAAAGACATTTATTTAAGACCCTAGGAATCYGTAATATGTATAAAAATGAATTAAAATTAAAATTAATAACATGCTTCAGGAATAACCATCAGTGCATCCAACTAATAACTGATGGAGAAATATAAAATTAATTTAGRAACAGATCAGCAACTTTCTCTATTGCCTAAATAGATGACCTTTAAAGTGCTCATTTTCCACGTTTATTATGGAGTTAATTAAAATTTAAAACTTAAGGTCTTCATTAGATAACACTCCCAAATCTTCCCTACATTTAAATGTTGTTCCTTATTTTTRTCTATATATGCATACATTTATAAATTTTAATAAAGTGTACGTAGCCACCATCATCATTAGCATCTCTGATTGGCTGAAATTAGAAGGCTTGGTTCTGCGCTCCCATTTTGGAACAGCCCATAATGGCATTAGGTAATGATTTGCTGTCATAGAATTCAAATTGTTTACACCTCAGTGTAGAAAATCCCTGCTTTTACATTTTCCTTTGAAATGCTTTTTTTTAAAAAAAAAAAAAAAGAGGTAGAATTCTTCATTCATTCTACTATCTTATTTCAAGATTTCACTTGTTTCTAAGTTCTGAAAATAAAAGGAATCTTTTTTTTTTTTTTTTTTTTTTTTGTACAAACAATTATTAATCTCTCCGGAAGAAACAGTGAGCATCTAAGCTTCTCCTTTAAGCTATTCTGGGTTGTTTAAATATTAATAGACAAGAGACAATGACCTTCAGTCCTGCTGCTGAATCATGGAAGCTGAAAAGTGGAATCAATACTTCTCTGTGCTAATGATTAACTGATTGCAGTTTGTTACGATCAGAAAATGTGTCAACTCAATGTTCGCATTGCTAAATGTATGATTTGAACCAAATTCCAATAGTGAACCTCGATAATATTTAAAGCGTTTTGAAATCAGATTTAAGACTTATTTTTAAATGTTGTTAATCTGGGAGCTAAAAGCTTAGTTCTACGAACATTATTAGGTCAGTCCAGTGAATCCTCAGCAATTCTGCTGAAGTCAAAGGAGCTACTCAGAGGCTCAAAACTGAGCATATGCTTAAGTATTTCTCCTGAAAAAGGTAAAGCTTGACTGTAAGAACTGAGGTTCTGATTATTATTGCAGAATGCTAACTAGTCCATGGCTTTTCCTTTTTTCCTTCACAGAGATATGGATATGGTGGATGGGTTCAGCTGGATCATCACTGCAAGGTTTGTGCTGTCTGATCCTCTGATATAGTTTTGTGCTGTGATCAGGAATAGGCATTCACAACTAAATATCAATAAGATAGACTATGGCTTTGATAGAAATTTCTGTAAAGGTCTGTCTTCTATGAAGCAATTATTCCTCCAAGTGGAATATATCTCAGTAGATCTTGTTGCTTAAGAGGTAATATTCAGTATACAGTCAGTTTACTTTCTCTCATATGAATATGAATCCAGGTTTCCTCCTAAGTGTTTGTTTACATTCTGAATGGATATCTCTGAAGAATTATTTTTAATAAGATGCACTAATCTAAAACACATTACATATTGAACTTTTGTATTTACATGTAGTTGTCTGTATGAGAAACAAACATAATTGAGATTGATATTTTAGTAAAACATAAAGAACTAGGACATGAAAGTGTCATGAAAGAGAAAGAATAACCTCCATATGTCTTCCTGACAAGCAGAGGAAATTGTGGTTTCAATATCCAAGAATGATGGGGACAATATACAGGTTTGGGGACCATACTGTAGAAGATAGGAGCCTGAGTTTTTTTGGCAAGCAAAAGGCAGAATGGATGTGATTTTTCTATATCACCATTCACTCTATTAACTTTTCAAAGACACTTCTGAGATACATAAGAATACCTGGAACAACCTATCTGCAAATGCCATGAGACAATGCCAAAAATCCATCCTCATTCACATCCTCATTCATAATCAAGGCCTGCTGCTAGTGCAGTTAGTAGAGTACATTTATTCAGTCTGATGATAGCAAAACAGGTTTCTTAAAGGCTTTATTCTCATCTCACTCTCAGTAGAATAAATCAGCAGTAATTACAGTGACATTTACARTGACACAATAATATAAAACTGATATAAGCAAGATCAGTAACATGTCTTTTAAGTTGATTGACATTAAAAAAAGAAAAACAGTATATTGTTTTTTCTTAGGAGGGCAGGACTAGTATGGCAAAAGAATGTACTTCATACATTACCATATAGATTAATTTTATAACCTAGTTTTAAAGATAACACCTCTGTTACTATGTAATAACTTTGCCAGATATCACTATACAGCTCAAACACTGTCACAAGAAGCCAGTTTTCTCCCATGACCTGTCGGTTCCCTGTGCTCTGGTGAATGTCTTCAGGCCCAAAAGCAGGAATGTTGTCCCTCCATCAGCACACCAGCAGCAGGGCAGGATGGGGGAGGTCCCATGCTTATTAACACGGTTATTTTATGGTTTATAAATATGCATTACATTTTCTACTAATGGAAAATATATTCTTTTCCATTATAACAGTTATAGGTGAATAATGCAAGGTAAGTAGACTCAAGAGAAAAAGCAAGCTCAAGTGAGGGTCCTTGTCTAATTATAGGAGACTGGAAATTTTCCATTAGATTTAGTCAATGCTGGACCTGGACTTAGAATTTCCTTAAGGATGGGAAGAGAAAGGTGTTTTATGAAAGAGGTCTCAGATCTGAGGTCTCTTCCCACCTCATGTCCCATGTACCTGTCCTAATTAGAGAAATTCCATATGTAATTGCCTACCTCATGAGCACTGTGATCTGTCCACATACTGAAGAGTAAAGGCAATGCAAGGCATTAGCCAGATAATTAAAGAAAAGAAAAAAGAGAGAGAATAGGCAAGGGGTGGATAAGAACAACATGGTTATAGTAAACTGCAAGATGTAAGATGCAAAGATGAACAGTTTATCCAAGAGTGTCAGCACGTACCCCACTTGAAGCTTGTAAAGAGTGCAATATAAATAAGTGGATAAACCCAACTATGTTCTGTAATGGCCAGCTGCACATGCAGCATGTTGATCTGATCTGTCTTCTGTAGATTAGCCATGATCTCCATAATGGAATTCTGTAATGTCAAGTACAGGCATAAGTAAAGACTTACAAAGACTTAGTAATTAGAATTTTCTGAAGTGACGTCTCTACTCCATATTTGAGATAGGCCTATAGAGACAATAGAGTTCAGTCTTTTTCTCGTTGTTTCTCTTTTTGACTTGACTAATTCCTTCATTCTCTGTAGAGAGGCAATTAATTTTTATTTATTTGTTTGTTTGTTTTGAAGAAGCAAGGCATATATTCCAGATAAACAAGGTAGTTAAGTGTATAGTTTCTGTTAATTTTAATGGAACTAGACCATCCTCTTGTCACTTTGGAAAATCCCACCTTTTTTTGTGATTGTATGTATGCATATGGTAACTAAAAAAGAAGCTGATAAAATGGATACAACATTGTGTATGTTTATTCCAAGCTAATGGCATATACACCGCTGTCATTCTACAACATGCAAGTTTGTGCTGTCACATGCCTATCAGCTATTTATGAAGCAGGAATGAAGCTTGGGAGCAAGCTGGAACAGCAAACAGATTATGATGAAATTCCAGCTTTCATCAGTTTTATTCAAATTTCAGTCTAAGCAGGACTGGGAGGAGAAAAGATGCCACCTGCTAAGCAGAAGTTCGCATGGCACAGCTTCTGAGATAGATGGCAGATGCAGGAAGGAGAGAGACTTGCAGGCATTTTTAGCAGCTTAGCTGTTTGGTAGAGGTCTAGTGCTGAAATTCTTTGCTAAAAATAGTCTACAAAGGAACTCTGTGGCAAGTCGATAATAGCCTTGCATGCTCTGCAGAGAGTTCTCTCCAGCCTGCTTCTGTCTACATAAAAGAAGTGCATGATAGAGAATAAAATCCTGTGTAAATATGTGGAGCTGGGGAAGTAACTCCCAAAATAAAAGAAGAAAAAGGAAAACCTTCACATATTCAGTTAAGAAGCATCAAGGTCTGAAATGGCATGTATGCAATTTGAGCTGTAACTGAGTAGTTTGTAGCAGTATAAATTCAAATGTAGCTTGCTAAAATAAATCAACCTGCTGTATTTCTTCTTAAACCTCTCTCAATTTCTGCATAAACTTTAAGACCTTAAATACCACATGATGTTAAAAAAGATATAATAGAATTTTTCAGCTGTGCCCTTAGAAAAGCGTGATCTTAGATCTTTTATGCGGGCTTCAACCTTGCACTCATGCCTTGGAGCCTTTAAACATTCTTTTTCATCAGTGTATTTTATTCTTATTACTTTAAAAAATTGTTTCCCCATTAAGGTGTCTGAGTAATTTCTCATTTAAAAAATTGATGAGTGCAGRTTAGTGGCAATGTCTAGAGACTATAGTCATAGGACTGATTTTCTAGGCCTGGTGTTGTTCACACAGAGCTGTGAGTTTAGGCGTGACCTGCAGCATGTTGATCATCACAAAGAATCAGCTAATGAAAACAACAAACCATTTAACTAATTATTTAATGAGAACAGTACACRTCTTATTAGAAATACTTCCTATATTGTGACGACTGTTAACAGCATTCAGTGACCTACTGTTCATCTCAGCATTTATGTATGAGCACTGTCAAGGTTGCTGGTAGAATTACTGTCTGCCTAACGTTTTCAGTATCAGCAGAAGAAAATAAATGTAAGCAGTTTGGCTGCTATGCCTTTGCTGTATCTGAGGACGTTGCCTGTGTTCACAGRAATACTCCCAGTGGTAATCTAATAAAGGCCACATGATCTGCTTGTGTGTGACACAATGCTCAGTTCCACTGTGTCTTTTCCTGTGCTCACCCTCCGAATTCATTTCTATTTGTTAGGCTATGTGCATTTTTTTTTAATTATTGGAGGATTTGGCTAGTGCAAACCTTTCTCTCAGGTTGGAAAATCAAAACCTGAAGTATTTTGCTGGAGGATCAGAGCAATATAGTTGTGATAACTGGCTGTAATATTTCAAGTAATTTTTTGAAATTGTGATATACCTACCAACTTGACAGTTTGCTAAGGCAGCACTCCTAKATATATGGAAGAGATCTTTAAAATATTCATTAGGGCAGTGTATTTGTGAATGATGTATGAAGCTAATAACAAATTCAAGCTTAAGAGCAGTCTGACTTCTCAGAGGAGATATAAAAGCAAGCTTTGCAATAAGTAGTGAAATTTTATTAATTTCTGCTGGAGAATACTAGCAGGAAATACTCTGATTTAACAGATTTTTATATATCAAGATAGACAGATGTAGTGTGGTTCCCAAGTAAACTAATTTAATAAATTAGCATTTGGGAGACATAGTTCCCTTCCTTAAGTCAGAAGACTTCAGTGCACTTAGCTTCTGTTTACTGTGGACATAAAAAAGTAGCTGTTCTTCTTTCTCACATCTTATCGTGTGGTTTTCAGTTTTTAACTGCACATTCACTATCTTTTCTGTCCCACGTGTTTGCTACATGACCATGCTACCCATAGCAACATACCCCATAATGTAAGGCTCATATGGATGATCTGACTTTCATCTTTTTCCAGTTATCCCCAAAGTAACTTAGAGCAACCAAAAAATACTTACAGCTTGCAAATATTGGTGAATTGCATCTCTTCAGTGTAAGCTAACCAAAATACTACTGTCAGTTATCTGTCTTTTGGTATTGAATTGCTAATTCTAATTACAAGTCCATAGATGCATGTGACTTCATACAACATTAACAAATATTTTTCTTGACTTAATGTAACAACACCGTGCTTGTCATCTTTGGACTGTTGTCAAATACATGAAAAAATAAAGAACAATTTTAATAATTAAAGAATTGTTATCAAGCTTGATGACTGTAATAATGTTTTGAACTTTATAAGCTGGTCATTAGTTTATGGTAGGAAAGGTATTACACTAATTTATGTAATCACTCTATACTATGTTTGGATTTTTCTATGGTCTTTTTCCCCCAAATAGAGAATCTTCCATATTTCTTTTCTTTAAGTCCCTAGGAGAAAATGTAATCTAAGGACAAACAATACAGGTCTGATTTTGTCTCTGTTCCACAGGTCATCTGAAACACCTGAAATGAATTTAACAGTTACACAATTATTTCTTTAGTTGCTGGATTCATTTTGATGCTATGGACTTTAAAAGCACACATGCATCCCCAAGGGCAACATTTAGTTCATATTTAATTTGAGCACAGTTTTGAGGTCAAATTTTGGTTTGAGGATAAACCTTGATGAAGGTACCTGATAGCTTTCTCAAACAACCATGGGGAAATAAACATTGCAATACAAAGATCTTTATATTATGAAAAAAATATATATTTTTTCATGTCATCTGAACTATAAATGGTATTTTAAAATATTATTTGATTAGGTAATCTACTGAATATATGACTATATTCTGTCAYTGAATATATTTAGGGAGCATAATGTATTCAAGCAACTCTATAATTTAGCGTGTACTAATTTGTCATATATATTAAATATGAAAATGTCATTTCACAGGGACAGGCAAAGATGATGAAAGATGGAAAGGTTTTTAGAGTTATTCAAGAAAACTGCTGGGATCCAGAAATAAGGATTAAAGAGATGGACCTATCAGGTAATTTCATAAAGGAAATGAAATCATTGTGTCTTAATGCAGGATAATAAAAACCRTTCTGTTAGTGCCTCTCAAAGTTAAAAGCAACTTGTTTACTCCTAGAATTTTCTGCATATATATTTCCTTTTCTACCATTTTTTTTCTATTTAGATATTGCAACATTATTCTGTTTTTGATAAAGGAATCTGAGCCTAGATAACTGGTACAATTACTTTCTCAGGAAAGAGTGTTTTTCTGATTGCGAAAGAAACCAAGCTTAGCAAATTTATTTTCCATAGGGCTTTGATATGGTGTTAAACATAGTTTGAAAGATTGGACATTAAGAGAAGGAATTTTTAGTCTAGTTGATGGGATATTTTTTAGTATTGATTAATACCATAATTCCAAATAAATTGGAATAGAGTAATATATATATAATATAAGTAATATATATAATGGAGAGAGTAATACTCTCTCCATTGGAATGGAGAGAGTAATATGGAGTTATTAAGGAATATATTTCTTTAACTGAACCTGGAATAATTGCCTACATCAGTTCTTCAGTAGACAAAACTTAGTAGCTTTTCCTACTTTTCAAAAAGAACAAATACATCTGAATTCTTCTGAAAAGCATATATTTTAAAAATAGTGTATTTGTGATTATTGTATTTGTTATAGCATAGTAGGAAACACTTCAGGTCATTCTCCCAATTGAGCTTTAGCCTGCAATGTAKAAGGTAGAGGATGATGGGCATTTATGTAAACACAACTTGGAAAATTTCAAGATTACCTCATTTGCACATTGCAGAAATAGTATTTCAAAATTAACCATTCAGCATTTCATGTGGAATGCCTAGAATGCCTGTGCAACATCTCTAAAATTTCTGCTGCCTGACGAGATTTTAATCRTTCCTGGAATTAACTATGTTACGTCGAGTTAGGGTGTATTTACACAAAATGCAATCACATTTTGGGACTAGCCATTCTTTTTCTCAACCACAATCATAAATAGCCCCTTGGTATCTTTTCCTTTCAGATATGCTTTTCCAGCACTAATGGCAAGTTTTTATAAAACAATTCTGCCCCATCTAGTTCCTCTACATAAAGGGAAAACACAAAGGGAATTTTCTCAAATTTTTGTAACAGCTCTCCCCTCCAAAAATGTTTCATAAAACTAACACAAAATATTGTTCCACAGACTACATAAAACAATGCTCATTTAAGGAAAAACATCTAAAACTGTGTCTTACAGCACCATCTGGTGGCTTTTTCCTATAAAAAAACTGTTCTTTTATAACAGCACTTTAGGGAAACTGCCATCAGCCAACTAAATATAAAACCAAAGACCTTACAGAGCTTTTCATTCTTATCATTCTTGTAATGATAAAGAATATGGGCCATGTTTTATTCTTTTTCTGTTCACAAAGGTGTAGCTGCTTACTTCAGACAGCTTTGCGGAACAAAAAAMAAGGTACATTATGCCCAAAATATTAACCACCAAACATATCACAGTTATGGAACAAGGATATGGGAAATCTCCTATTCTCTGTATCATCACAGCTGCAAGATTACTAATTTCATACCTGACATTATGGCATATCGTCACTAATCAGATTGCACAGAGAGGATTCTGAAAGCTAAGGGAAAACATTTCTTAAATAGATTTTTTTTCTATGCTGGTTCACCTTCTTCCTAAGTATACTGTCTGAGAATGTTCAGCACAGAAATCTACTCTTAAAATTTGTGTTAAATTTGTTCTGTAACTCATCTTTCAAAAAGCAATGYCAATATAATGTTAAAAATATCTATCTTTCTACCAAATAGGTAAGGCAGAAATCTGGATTATACAAATTATTTCATGACTCAAAAATCTGAAACCAGCCCTTAAGCTAACAACAACTAGGAGTAAAAGAAAAGAATTTGCATGAAAAAGAATTTGAGTAATTCAGTCCAAAATAAGTCAAGAAGATTCTGGCCATTAATGACTCCTAGGGAAATGGGAAAGAGAAATGGGAGAGAGAGCCAGGAAACAAATAGGTTGATAAACAGGATCATATAGAAAGAGACTTGTTACTATTAAAACACTATGGTACTCCAAAGCAGTCCGAGGTCAAATGCAATGTTGATACACGTAACACAGGAAACGGTAATACGACTATAGACAAAGAATTGATCACTATCCTAAGTCATACATATTACAATTTACAAGTTAAATTCCTCTCCACTTCCAACCAAAGTCCTTTTTTACTTTTATCATTTTATATATGTGTGTGTGTATATATATATATATGTAAAGTATGTAAACTAATAATTGCTTGTTTTCTTTTACAGGTGTCACAGTCCAAGTCCTTTCTACGGTCCCTGTAATGTTCAGCTACTGGGTAGGTTCCTACTAGCATATTCTGTAATTTATAAATATTACAAATTATTTTAAAAGTAAAGTGCAAATTCCTGTGAATTAGGTGACTGAAGTAATAATTAGATCACTGAGGTAAAGGGAGACCTATTCTGCTGTGAAAAAACAAAGGAGAAAAAACACTAAAGAGCCAGCAGGAAGTCCTGGCAAAACTCCACTCTGGAGTATGCTCAGTAAGAAAGAATGAGAAGGCAACAGAATTTCTGCTGGAGATTTTATCAGAAGTAACTGCAAGCACAGAGAAAGAACCTACAGAGCATGAATCCATTATGTAGTGGGAAAATGCATATGGGTTGATTCCTTGGAAGTTAGATATCAATCTCTCTTTTTCTCATGAAAAGAACAAGTAAAAGATATATTTGTAGCCTAATCCTCTGTTCTTTTAAATGTAGCATGGGAGGAGAACTCACAGACTTAGAATATTCTGAATCTTAAAATTCAGACGCAAATTTAAATATATTCTATGTATGGTGATCTTGAATACACCAAAGAAATAAGAAGTCTGAGAAGATAAATCATAGCAAATGGTGATTCAAAATATATTCTAAATTTGACTACTTAGCTGCTTGTAGAAATCAAACTATGATGTGCAAACAGGTATCTTACACTAAAAAAAAAAAAAGTTAAGCCCATATATAAGTAACACCATTGATTTTCAAAATTCCTTTATGCATTACATATATTACTATTTTGTTCTGATTTTTTTGGAAGTTTTTATCCTTTAATATATTCTATTAAAAAAAAAAAAAAAGCAAGGAAACTAATTAATTGTATGGATATTGCAGTTCCCTCATTAGAAATATGACTATCTTCTTCTAAACACTAGAAAGCTTTGTTCAAAATTTCTCTACAAAATTCTCATGCTCCAGCATCCCACATCTCTTGTTTTCCTCTTTCCAGCTCCAGTAATAGCGGAATAAATATTCATTGCTATATTTTAAAAAAAGATATGCTTAGCTTTTTGCATTTCTATAATCAAAACCAGAGGATGAGTTGACATGAAAAGTTCACATACTCGAGCACATCCCCAGGCTGGGCTAGATTACACTGACCTTGAGCAATAAAGGGAAAAGCAATTAATATTCTATTCCAGACAAGAAGAACTGTACCCAAAAGATTTATAGCGAGGCAGAATTTAGTCCTACTGGTTTTCATTTTACCATAATGTAAAATTTTAAATTCAAGCCTTCTCTCTATATTATGTGCAGTGACATTTACCCAGTATCTTCCAAAGGTGATAACATTTGAAAACTTTATTTTAATGTATTATTCTGCTTAATATCATACCAGGCCAAACCTCAGGACACTTTAGATCTATCCCAGATATTAAATAATGACTTAGCTGCTACAGTAAAAAAGTACCCCAAGAGGTTTATTGGCTTGGGTACATTACCTTTGCAAGCTCCAGACCTGGCTGTGAAGGAAATGCATCGTTGTGTGAATGAACTTGGATTTCCTGGAGTACAAATAGGATCTCATGTCAATGAATGGGACCTGAATGCACCAGAAATGTATGACATCTATGCTGTGAGTAAATGATTCCTTGCTTAGTTGGGGGAATTCTGTGCCATGGAATTTTATCTAAAAATACCTTATACCTATTCAGTCATCAGCTAAATTTCTTTAATAATTGGGAAATCAAACTAATAACAATATTCATTTAAAATTGTGCAGTATATTTTTAAAAGAGTGCATATTAAATATTTTTTTCTTTTGGTGGATTCATTGATCCAGACCCATTTCAACCAATGAAAAAGCATCAAGTTCGTAGGACTCTGTTACTGTTTGACCCCAAATTTCTCATTCAGTCAAGTGAAATCACTGACTTTTGAGGTGCAAACAATGTAAAATTGGCATTTTTCAGGCACAATCCCATGATGTTAAACCTGGCTAATCTTTGGTGATCAGAGTTTTTAGGTTATAATTATATATGGTAATTGATTAAAGAGTATAATGACAATAATAAGAAATAAAACATTGAGAAGCATACTTTATGAAATAAAAAATAAAATATTTTATATATTGTAAAAAGTTTCCATCTTGGTTTCTGAGGATAATAAAATATCAAATAAAGCATTTCCACTGTGTTTGCATTTGCATTCAAGTTGTTACATCCAATCTTACTGAGATAATTTTTAAAAATCTCTGAGATTTTCAGAGATGTCAAGGTCAGATACATAGCACCACACAGACTTATGCAAATGGGACCAAAAACTCTAAACTGAATGTATTAATTGTAAGATGAGTTCATAGACTGCATTTCTTAAACAGCCTGAGGTCCAGATGGGGACTCTCCTTTGTCTAAATTATAAGATTTAATCAATGCACATTCTGTGTCTGTTTCAGAGCTTATTATAGCTGTCACCTTGAAATGGATTCATAGAGAATATTTCTCAAAACTCTCAGTTTATTCAAGAATTCTATTAGCACAGCATCTGGACAATATATTTGGTCACCCAGTATCTGGTATCAACTTCTGCTTTTGGAGATGCACACATTCTTTGGCTTATGTTTAACACATACAGGAAGTAACCTCTATCACTTTTAGAAACATCTTTGAAATACAGATATTGTAAAATAAACCCATATTTGATAATTAACTTCATGAATCCATCAAGACAGTTACTGAATTGCTAGCTTTAGTTTACACATCTAGATGGCAATTACTTCCTAGAGTCCACCAGTTACAGCTTTATTTATGCATTTAATGGTAAATAAATCCAAATTTTTCAACCTTGTGACAATCCCCTTAGCAACAAGAGGAGGTCCAGAAATACATCTGACAAAATGAAGCTGTTAAAAATTAGTCAAGCATTAACAGCTCTGGTTAAATTGAGGCATGTAGCTAAATGGCTCAGTCAGGATTAGTATCTCATATAGCTCCTCTGTTTCCCTTTCTGAAAGTGTCAGCAGTTTGGGAAATGTAATGTGCTTGAGTGGGGATGGTTTACTGATCAGAATGCAAAACCAGGTTTCTAGCTGTTAGGTGGGTCAGAAAAGGTTTTGATATTTTTTTAAGTCAGGCAACAGGCCAAAGGGGACAAATGTAGTATGACAGCAATGGCAATTCCTAAATACAGCTGGAACACTTCTGTAAATCCATTCTATCTAGAAAATATTCTGAAAATTCATCCCTTCATGTGAAAAGAAACCAAAGCAAAGCTCGTTTGAACCAGATTTTATACTGCAGGATGCGTGTGGCATACACATAGCTAAAAAAAGACATTTTTCTACCACATTAATTTGAGGAGCACTTCAACTTAATAATAAAATGTTATCATAATGTTTCAAAACCAATAGTCTCAAAAAGAACTTTGAATGTGAGTGAGATCTTCATGTTATGGACCAGAGCACTAAATACAAGCTACTGTTGGTTACAGTTTTCACTTCTGGGCCTAGTTTCATCACTAATAATTGATGTTCAGTACAGTTTTGCAGGTTATCTTTAAAGCATGACTGCAAAAGTAGGTAAATTTTGGTATGATTAAGTCAAGATGAACATTTTTTCTCTTTGCTGAAGGCTGCTGAGCAATTGAATTGCTGTCTCTTTGTGCATCCCTGGGACATGCAGGTAGATGGACGGATGTCCAAGTACTGGCTTCCCTGGCTGGTAGGTGAGTGTATTGCTTAATCTATATTTATAAACCCAGGAGATTTTTGCAAAGGTGCTTGTACAGAATAAAACTACTATTAAGCCTATTGTGAAAATAAAACTCTCTCTCTTTTTTTTAAGCCTACATACTTTGCCTGATCTTTTATATTGAAACCTAAAATGAATAAAACTAGCAACAGAATCTCGTATTCTCTTGTCTGCTAAATACAAAAAGAGTGGATGACCAGGAAGAAGTTCACTGCCTCTGAAATGAGAAGGCTTCAAAAAAAGAGAATTTGAGCAAAAGAGGAGAGAGAGTAGACAAAACCAAAATTATTTCCTGGAATTTCTTAGGAATATTTCTTGGAAAAACACTGATCAGAAAACATACTGAATTTAAATTCAGTTGAACTATTATAGCTCAAAGAATATTGTACTTCAGAAGCTCCCCAGAGTTGTAGTCAAAGGAGAATCACGTAGTTTCTATTTTTCCCCTATTTGCTAGTTAAATCAGAGCAACACTGAGTGACTCTTCTAACAGATTCTGCCGGTGATTCTTTTAGCAGAGAAATGCTACTTAGAAATATAGTTATATAGGATAAAAATTGGACTTTTGAATTCATAAAATCTTAGCCTCTAGTCCTGTGTTCTAATTAAAGTTAATTAATACTCATTTTAGTGTTCCTCTAATGGAAAAAATGCAGCACTGTAATGTTATTTTTGCACTAGATTCAAGGCCTGTTGAGGATAATATGACTCMATCTTTGTCCATATAGCATGATAAGGCTCTTTGTGTTGATAGGCATGCCAACAGAGACAACCATAGCCATTTGCTCCATGATTATGGGAGGAATTTTTGAAAAATTTCCTAAGCTGAAAGTCTGCTTCGCACATGGAGGTAAGGAGTATACCTTGTGAAACTGTAGCAGAGCATAGTTTTATTTTCCAGTATACCAGCTAATGGGGTTAATGGTCTAAGCCTGACACCAGCTGAGTGTCTATTACTCCAGTCTATACTAGAGTRTAGTGTCACTATTACTGCAGTGAGGATTTCTGCCACCTAGGTTGCTCATATGAACACTCTGCAGCCAGTTTCAGTCACTGTTTGAACTATTAAAGTAGCCCTTCAGAGGAAGCAAGAAGGAAGAGGTAGGAATAAAGGGCAGCAGGAGGTAGTTGAAACATTGAGGGAAAGGGACGAGGCAGCAGCCGGAATTTGGGGTTCACTGTAATGAAGAACCACAGAAAAGAAAGGTCACAAGATGGAAGGAATATTGCTGATTCAAAACACATTTTTTTTCCTAAGTAACTGCTAGTAAAACTTGAGGATCTTTGTGCTGGTAATGTGTATTTTTTTTCCCTTGAGTTTTTTGTCTCTGTTACTAAAAATTTCTCCTTGCAGGTGGGTCTTTTCCATACACAGTGGGGCGAATCTCTCATGGATTCAATATGCGCCCTGATTTGTGTGCAGTGGATAATGAGGTGGATCCAAGAAAGTACCTTGGTTCATTTTATACAGACTCTCTCGTCCATGATCATGGTGCACTGAGGCTACTAACAAGCGTAATAGGAGAGGTGAGTTTTAATGCTTCCAAGGGCAGGTCAGTCATTCTACATTTAATTTGTTCTCCAAGAAAAATCAAAATAATAGAAAAGAGCAGAAAGAAGACAGCATATTAACTCAGTAAAATCAGAACCTGAGCTGTTATAAACTGGTAATGCTGGTAATTCGTTTGCTACATGGAGTTCTTGAAATGGCTGTTTTAATCCATTAAATTATGCACTGTGAACATCACTTCAGTGAAGCTAGTTCCTCATGTAAGGTTGGTCAGGATGGGACTGCGAGCAAAGGCTGTCTTATTTGCAGCCTTGTTTTCAAATGCCTTTAATTTCAAATTCAGGTGTCGACTTGAGGAAAGCAAATATTTCTACTTGGGAAGTTGTAGGCAGAAAAAAATGGCAGTAAAGAGAATTTTGTGGGGATCCTGGATAACACATTAAATATCATGGTTTGGAAAATAGTTATAGCAGAAAGTGAGTAAATGTTAGTAGTTTATAAATCTGTTTAAATCAGATACAGTGTGGGACAGAAACATCCAAAACAATCATTGTAATGTTTCAAATCATCCACTTCCCACTCCACAGCTCTGCCTATGAAATACCAATGTTGCTTAAATATCCACCTATATGTCTATTTGGCTTTTAACACAGTTAAAACTGAACGCAGTTGTACCTGTCCACATGATACTAATTGTCTCTGACAAGAACAGCAGTATAATCTTTTTCTCTATAAAAGCATTGCCAGGGACAAGGAAATACTGAAGGAAAATGAAAAGGTTAAAAAGCCAACAACATCCTGTTTGGTACAATTATTCTACATCAAGTGTATATTTACAGGTACACAAACTATCCTGGCACTTTTGTTTTTAATGGCTTCATTCATCCCTTGTCCCTTAATCACCTACGTATTTTTGAGATAAGATAGCACTTAGAACAGCAAAGGAACCTCTTCACTCACTAAAGCATTTTGGCTTTCATGTCTGTTTTTCTTTCCAGCATCAAGCTGGCATTTGTATTTTTACATAGTATCAAGAAATAATGTAAACATATTGTAATATACAGTCATTTTACAACCATTTGCCACTTTGTTTGGCCTGTAACTTTGGGAAAGAAAGACCCTCCATAAYCATATTCGATTCATGATGGCTCAAGCATCTCCCTAGTCCTCTGCCAGAGAACCTTCCTGGTTAACACTGGTCTTTAGAAGGTACGTTTCCTTAAGTGGCAGAAAGTAGCTAGTTCACATTTGACCTGAGCAGCATCTTTTGAGTTAAATATCRTTTTCCTTAGAACATTCTGGAGAATGTACTACAGCAGAAGAGTCCTGCAGAATGTACATTAATACAAACAGCAGAACATGCAGCCATCCTGTACTGGAAAGTGAAAAGAATTGGACAGTACTGGGTAGCTGACCCCAGAAAACTCCAAAACCAGGCCGTTTTATCATGAGCTGTTAAATCCTAACAGTGACATGATAATGTATTTGAGTGAGGCATGTGCTGGTAATACAATTAGCCATGCCAGTTTTACATTATTTTGATATTCTCCCACTCAAAGGATTCCTTATCCATAATAGCACTCATAAGATGAAGTGGGAACAGAATTCTGGTCTTTTTCAGAAAAACTGGGAAAAAAAGAGCAGGTTGAAATACAGGCTTTACTCCACTCCAAGTTCCTCAGAGAACTTGGAAGTTTGTAGAATTTGTTAAATATATAAACTACAGAAATTATTTCAGGTCAAGAATGTGCTGAGCTGTATAATGAAAAAAAAATTTTATTTGCAAAAAAAGATTTTAAAAAATGTGAAGAAGCACTTGGAGGTAATGTTTCAGTAATGACAGATTTGTCAAAAAAGAAGTCTCATTCCAGTGAGAATACTCAGTAAAGTAATTTGGAATTTTATCTTGCTTTATAAATAGTCTAACTAGAATGAGAATTTCCTTTTCTTCTTCTTATGGTGGAAGGGGTAGGAGAGAAGTACGTCTCTAAACAAGCTGCAGATTAGGCTGTGATATTGCCCAGCCACAGTGCTGAAAAGTCGTGAGTCAGAGCCCCAAAACATAAATGCCTCTAACTCTCAAAATAAAAAAAAAAGAAAAAAGGAAAAACAGTACCTTATGGGTTTTTCTCACAGCCTAAAGCATGTTATCCTTGGGGGAAAAAAAAAAAAAAAAAAAAAAAAAAAGAAGAAGAAGCATTCAAATCATATTTTCATGCTTTCCTGTATAACCAGGGAGTAAAATCTTGCTTTGTTTCCTGGTGAAAGTTAACACTCCCACATAATACATTTCCAAGGGTCAAGGGTTCAAAAAAGCACTAAGTACCACAATATCTCAATGAAATCATGAGTGTTGGCAGAATAATAAACATAGGATGAATAAATGCTGGGCTAAGAACAGTGTTATTGTATCTTGTGGATGACACTGTAACTTTACCTGCTCAGGTTTGAAATAGGACAGGTCTCTAGAGGATGAATAGCTGAGASCTGAGTAGGAAGGGCATGAGGTATATGTAAAGATGTGCATAAGCATGGCTTAAAATCCCTAGGGATCAGCCATTACCTGACATCAGAGTGTGATGAGTTGGCTTTGAGCTTATGAATATTAAAATCCAGTGCCAGTTCTTATGAGTCACATACCTTTAACTTCATCTTTTCCTAGTTTGGGGTGCAGGCTAATTTGTAGCGCAGAACCTATCCCAGCTAAAGGAAAGAGAAATAAACATTTTCTGAGAAAGAATTTTGTAAGGCTGCAAAATTACTGCAGTCCTTCCCCTCCTCCATAAAGCAACATGCAGTAAATAGAGCTATGGCTAATAAGGCTATGAAGAAGGAAGAACTGGGCTGACACGGGATTAAATGATTCAGTGTATCTCTACAAAAAGTTCCTCATGGTGATTCCTCAAGAACCTTGGTCAGAACGTAGAACATGCTCTGGCCAGAAATCAGACCTGAATGKGCTACAACAATCTGGCCTTTCTTGAAGCGTATCCTGATAGTAGGAAAGAAGATAACATTGAAGGCAAATCACTAGTGTAAACAGAACTCATGATTGRGGCTGTGTGAGATTTTCTTTAAGATTCAGGTGTCTATTACTGTGGAATAAACAAAATGTTCTGTTGATTAGACAGGACCACGGAGGTCCATCACTGTAAATACAAACCTTTCGAAAAGGAGAGGGGAATTATTAAGATATCAGACGCTAAGTCTTCTACGGAAAACAGACTTTGCTGTATCCTCTGGAATTATATGATGATAACTAATGATAACTAATATGTTAACAGTATTTATCTACAGAGACCTCACAGTATCTGGGGCTGTTCTTAAAGGCAGGTATTGCAATTCCCACCTTATAGATGGGTATAAAACTGAAGCTCAGAGAGTTTCAATTAACAGCCTAATATCATTTGTAGCCAAACAACAATGCCATTTCTAGATTTTCTCATTAATTGGCAGCTCTTGATTTTACTGCTAATGACTGCGACAACATTAGCTGTGAAATGCTTTAAAGGAAAGATAATGTATATACATCACTTCAATCAGCAGGAACCATTTCTTTCTGCTCTGGTATAGGGGAAAATGTAAATACGAATGWGAGAACCTTCCTGCCTTAGTTAACTTTGACTAACAATGGCCTAGGAATGCACTGAATTTCTGTTTCCTTTAGCAAGAAATTCATTTTCTATAACAGAACTAATATTTTAGGAGATTTTTTGATTCTTTTGTCTCAGGCATACATTTGTTTTACCTATGTGCAGAAAATGTCTTGGTATCACATAGAATATTACAAATAAAGAATGTATTTGTTTGCCTAAACATTTGCCTAAACAAATAAACTGTCTGATCTAAACTCAGAGTTTGATTTACTAGACAAAGGAATAATAAATTACCCTACTTGTATTTTATGGCAAGACTTCTATAATAAATTATGTTGCAGCAATGTAGCRCAGAACAACAGAACTTGTATCTTCTGCTGAGTTTTCCTATAAAGTCTTAGATAGGTTATTTCAGAAACTCTTGGATGGCATCTACTGGGAATAAAATAATAAAATCCCAGTCAAACGTAATGATTTAAAAAAAAAAAAAAAAGACTTCCCCAAAGTATGAAATTTTGTAAATGATTTTAATTTACCTTCATCTGAAGATGAATACTAGTTAAATTAAATAATTATTTGTAATTTAAATTTCTGTAGTAATTGTAGCTTGTCCAGTGGTTGAAGTAGCTTCAGGTTGCAGAAGACACACACAAAAGATATATATTCTTTGGCTATATAATTTTATATGGATGTACAACTAAGAATTTCATATTTAAGAATCCAAATCCTAGTGTCTTCCCTGAGTTTGCTGAAGAACTTCCTGAGTTTCATAAATAAATGTGCCATTAACTCTCTTATGTCAGACCTATAGCAAGGTTGGGTCTTCAAGAAAAATGGTTTAGCTCGAATATTATTTACACACTGGCATTAGTTATTTATGTACGAGACTGTCAGGAATGACATCGTACTGTCAGTCAATGAATGCAATGTAAAATACAAGATTTTTTTCTGGCCTGCTTTTGCAGGTCACTTGACAATCTATAGAGAAGATCAGAGTCATGATTTTTGTGTTTTTCGGACTGCACAGAACAGTGCAGCGCATGCAAGTAACCTTGAACATGAACAAGAAACAAAAAGTAAGTCAATAAGCATAAGGAAGAAGCCTATGTTCTCTGTATCAGCCACTTAATTGTGAGACTGCATAACCATGTAGCTACAGGTAGAACAGCAGAACAATGAAGTCTTTGACTTTGGCATTTTAAAGCCACATCACATTACAGAAAACCAATCTGTCAAGAAGGCCATTCATATCACAGTCATCCAAGCAATACACACCATTTCCATGTGCTTGGGATCTGCGTTTTGAACTTTCTGTGCATCAAAATAAAAATATAAAAATACACCATAGTTAGACATTACATAAACACTGACAAACAGTACTTTTCTCAAGCTTTACCCAAACTTCACCCAATATTCTTTATATAAAATAGAGGAAACTCTGAGTCCTTGTTTTCACTGTTTTACTGAAAACTGTAATCCAGAGATTATTTTCTCATCTTCTCTTGTGATTAATTAGTGCAATACACGTAATTTCCTGTGTTTTATTTTAAAAATCCAGAAAATGTGTTTAATGCTATTATTTAACATTACTACAAGATGTACAACATGTTTCCTCACTACCAGGACAAAGTTATTTTGGGGACAGATTATCCTTTTCCACTGGGGGAACTGGAACCTGGAAAATTGATTGATTCAATGGAAGAGTTCGACAGTAAACTGAAGGTATAATCTTTACATTTGTTCTTTTTCTATTTTAAGACTCTGGTTTTAGCCCCTTGATAAAACATGGAAAAATCAGTGGATTATACTGACTTCAAATATTGCAAGAGGCCCTTTAGTCTCATTTCCCATTTTCACAGGCCTTTACCTGAGGCCTGAGAACATGACCATGAATAAAAGCATCTGTAAAAACTTGAGTTAAATCCCTTGACTTAAACATGATTTCAGCACACATGAATTCATAAATATATACAAATATGTGTATGCTTTGTTTTTTACAGGATAAGCTCAAGGCTGGCAATGCTCTGGAATTCTTGGGCCTTAGCAGAAAGCAATTTGAATAATTATGAAGATACTAAAGAGACCAAACTTTGGAAACAATATKGGATCATTTTGAGGTATTATGCTGATAAAAAGATTGACAAGTACATTACAGTCTATTGGTATTTCCAAAAGCAAGTACTGGAGATGTGTATGCAGAGGCATTTCTTTGTATTTGAGGATTTAAGTTCTCTTTACACAATTTTGAAATTCCAGCTTTCATGCAAAATGGAAGATTTTATTTTTTGCAGATTCTCAGTCAGCACCTCTGAATGAACAAAATGTGAAATTTGCCTTTATCCAGTGATTGAAATTGTAGAAAACTGCACTTTAACCTAGCACTTCAAGTGCTTATACTGACACTCTAAATATATTGTGAAAGCATGAAAAAAGTCTATGGACTGCTCCTTTTAGGCTGCTGCCTAAACAATCTAAACAAAATGGTTGTATGTGCAGAAATAATGTGTTTGTCTGGATAAACCTTTGCACATCATTGTACTGTCAAAATATATACTAGTATTTAATAATAGCATGCTTTAATGCTCTCTTAAAATTATTTCCTAAAAATATGACTGGATACTTTATAGTTGTAGATGCAGAAATAATGTGTTTGTGTGGATAAACCTTTGCATACCACTGTATTGTCAAAATAAATACTAGTATTTAATATTAGCATGCTTTAATGTTCTGTTCTTTTAAAATTATTTCCTAAAAATATGGCTGGAAACTTTAAATGTTAACATACACAGAGCTCAAACTCTAGTTTGAGTGCTGCYGTACAAATGGAAGGCTTTGTTTTGTAAGCTGCTAAAGGGCACAGTGAAACAGGTTTTCCTGATAACCAGGTGAGAGAATGGGATCCTCTTCCTGAGAGGATTTTACACTAGTCAGAAAAATGCTGATGAGCACCTACATTTTGCTTTCTTATGTGTTCATTTGTTTGGTACAATTGGTACCTTTTTTTTTTTTTTTTTTTTTTTTTTT